TGAATTTAGCTGGAGTATTCGTGAAGAATACAATCCACCGAGATTGACGTGGATACTCAATAACGTAGGCCAATTTCTTATCTGCTTGACGTGTAAAAAGCAACTTAAGGACTGCACTATTATAGTGCATTGCTGAGTAGACAACTTTACAGTTTCGCTAGCAACGGTTCTGCATCAATCAAGCAGTCCATGCGCTTTACTAAGTGCACTATTTCTCCCGGTATAAGTTCATGTTGTATCCCGTACGGCTGACTGTACGTCTTGTCCTAAAAGTAAAAGCTGACTGTTCCTGCGCAAAGCAGAAGCCTCTTATTCAATGATTTGACTGGTATTTTTTCAAGGACAACCAGATAGTTCGGCTACATACATTAGTTAGAGCAGAACTTTTTAATTAAGGTATCCACATTGCGACAACAGTGCCCAGTAAGTACGAACAGTGTGACGCATGGAAAGGGTTGCGTAAACAAATGGAGGCAATTTGAAGGACTCTTTGGTAGAATGCAGCATGCTTTGCCATCCGGCTAGCACCTCCGCTCGAAGGCTGCTGTTCCTAGGCACCTAGTTATCCGGGTCCAAGTAGAAATGTCATCGGCCTAAAAGCAATTTTGCTTATAGATACTGGTGGATAATGGACATCGAGACGCTTTGCGGCTTAGACGTGGTTATTTTCGTTTGTCTGCGTTCCCTTAATAAACTGCCTGTTCCCGTAAGGCCCATTTATTTAAAACATATCCAAGTCACATGTGACAAGAAGAGCACACCGACTTAACCAAAAGTAGTAACAAGCCAATGAACAATGAGTTATAACGGGCAAAGAAGCAGTGCCTAAAAAGTCACGTAGAATGTCAGGAGTGGGGCTTATGAAACGATTGTTTAAAAAAACAGGTAAAAGGGAAACTTTTGGTTATTCACATGAACACATGATGGTCCACTCAACACTATATAACGCAGAGGGCTGGTGGGTACAATGTTTGCGTTAACTCGTCTTTCGATGGAGACAAGCTATGTCGAATTATGTAACTGAAATAAAGTTTCGTCCAGCTGTTTTTAAAACAAATGCGTTTATGTGGAGGCAATAATCACGCGGGAAGGAAGAGCTTTCCGCCTTCTGGATACCCGAAGGAAGATATGGTTGCGTCGGCCATCAAGTCGACTCTGATGTGTGGTCAACTGGAGTTGGAGGCCCCTTAGTTTGGTGTTGTAGCTAAATGGCAACAGATTGCGACAGGCGTAATTAGGTTCAGTCAGTATATGGTACACTATGATAAGGTCTCCTCGCAGGCTCCGGCATTCGCCACTATACAAGCTTAGGGCCTGCAGTGATTCGCTGGGTAATAGAGAGTTAAACACTCTCTAACGAATTTGGTCCCTTTCCTTTGGTTAGTTACAGAGTGCAATCAACGTGGAGCTTGCGTCAAAGACGCCAGGGCCTGGAATGCGTATTCTTCCTGGGGATTCAACGTCGTTTAGTCTTTTCGATAATTTTGCTGAAAGACAGATGGCTAGACCAATCTGAAGGCCGTCCGATTAGAGCCCTAGCATACGGACTGGCCTCTCCTCGATACCTTTTCAGGCTGTTTCGAGCAGCCAAGATCGTCCTGCACGATTACCCCGAGGTCACTTTCTTGCGTAGCATGTTGCCGTAGCCGCTCTCCCAGTCAATATTCGTGTGTACACAGAAAGCGTCTGCCCAGGACTTTGCATATCGCCAAGTTAAACCGCATGCGGTTTTAGGAGGAATATGTGTAGTCCCTGTCGAGATCGTATTGTGGAAATGAAATGCTGAAATTTTGTGGTGTAACTCATTGCTTCAGCAAAAAAAGCAAGCAAATAGTAGCAAACAAACTGTGACGAAGCACCGGATCGATTAATTAAGTGGAACGCGCAAGAAAATAATTGCCATCATGGAGCAACAGATGTCGCAACATTTCTGTCTGAATCATCGCTGGTTCCATCACTTCGCTTGCACTCCCTGAAAGCATATACCATGGAATTTCTTGATACCTAGATGCTTACTAGCTTTGGATTGGCGAACAGGGTCCGGCTTGGAGCTGAACTATGTGCCGCATAGCATTACTGTCACATTCCTCGCTTCTTTTAGGATGTTAGGAATGATCGATTATGGCCTGCCTTCGGATAAACTGGGTTTCGGAGTGCGACTTTTTACTTGTGCTTAGCCTGTACTTGTTAGACTAAGCGAAATGTTGGAAGTAGTAGCTCACCAGTTATGTACAACAGCACGAAATAGGCACGGGGAACTGTTGGGGCTCACGGCGTTCTTTTTCTACTCAAACATTTTATAGCTGCACTTAGGCGCAAACAAAATAACAGTGCAACTTCATTTTAAATAGACTAGTAGTATACAGATGAGTATGCGTGTCTTGGTCTAGTTAACAGTTAAAAATGTACCACAGTATTGCTAACGGAAGTGAAACAAAAGTAGGTCTCACGCGGAAAATCGGGCTTATTGAGCTGATTATTTTGCCAATTGGTTGATCCAAACCACAACAACGTTGTGTAACAAAATGGATGGTTGAATCCTGGCCGGAAGTTGAACAGACTGTGTTAGCGGGCAGGAGCAAAACGCTGTTTAACTTAGTGAAAATACTTCTTTATTTGAAGCCGTGAGCACTTCATGTAATCAGCTTTGTATATCAGTTGAGCCTACTTAGATTAATCCATTGTGTAGTGTTAAGCGGTGTGACTTCTTCCACCCTGCAGTAGTAAGGACCTGCGACTTATTGACTCCACTTGTATCTATTAGTTGCAAGAGTATCGATAAGAACACCCTCGGGTATGGTAAGATGTAATTATGGGTTTTGTTATGTGTGTCTCTGCCTTTTTAGTAATCGGGTAATTTCAAGTATCGAGCCAGCGTTTTCTGTGATATCAGTCTCCTCTTTCTTAAAGCAAAGGATTTTCAGGTTTCCATTTGTTATCAACAGTGTGAAACATGGTTGGTACTGTTAAGTCACTAGTTTGCTGAAATTGTTTGGAACGAACTCTTAGCTTACGTTTGTGCCGTTTTCCTTGCAGCTGTGACTTATTTTGAGTGCGAGCTAGGGCAGGCGTAATTGTTTTGATGCATCGATTTACATCCCCGTAAAATACTTGGACACTTCTGAGTCGGAAAACAAGAAGAAATCGGTTCAGTCGAAGGTATGCAGAACGGTAGCATAGTTTATCTAGCTTATTCAACAAAAATTGCATGCGTGTCTCAACGTGTTTGACCGGCCTCCCCTACCCACTCAGGCTGAAGACCCTCAAAATATACAGTGGACGTTACCGGCGTCTAAGGGGCGATCTCATAATGGTGTACCTAATCCTGAGAGACCCCAACCACCCATGCCATTCCCTCCTACTACTCAGTCGAAACACCTCGCTAAGAGGTCACCAGTTTAAATTAGTCACGCAGTACAGCCGCCTGGAATGTCGGCGAAACTATTTCTCCCTTCGAGTGGCACAGCCTTGGAACGCCCTCCCGGAACATGTAATTAATGCACCCACTTTATCCCTTTTCAAAAAACGCCTTGACGATATCGTGTCACATTTACACCACGTGCTATAGCTCATGACCACCAGATGCTGGCACTAATGCACAACAGACAGGGGATAGTGCCATAACCCTACTCGAGAATGAGTCATTCCAAACGCCTTGCACTAAATTTGATAAACGCTACTTCTACAGATACTGGATTTCTGTATCCTGTCGACCCAAGATAGTTGCACACGAGTAAGCGTTGTCCTTGTTATCTTTTTTTATTTTTCTCGCCTATGAAATGAACAATAACCACTCCCCTGTTGCTTTGTGTGCATACTTTCTCGTTTCAAACTCTCTTTATACGATAATGCAATTACATCTGTAAGCGCCTGAACTGACGACTCCATTATCCCTTCGCTATCTTTTTTGTCACGCTAAACACCCTACGGGACATGTCAAGCTCCTGCTATGTTATCCGTTATAAATCAATGTTCATTGTTCATTATGTTCATATGAAATGTTCATTTGGCAACTGACGACATTATGGTAACTACTGTGTAGACAGTCCAGTACGTCGATAACAGCAACCACTGGTCCAGCGTTGAATATGAGGTCGAGTGTATTATGCAACCGTGTGGGAGATATTACATTCGGTGTACTGCCTCAAGCAATCAGGTAATGCGAGATTGTAGTGTGCTTTTATGTACGTTCTCACACGGTTCATGTAATGTTTGATAAGCTGAAATGTCTTCCAACTGCTTATAGCAAATTGAAATTACAGAGGCGTGCCTCATCGGATTCTGAAGCAATCCGTTCTCAAGGACACAAGAGTTCGGCGGTAAATAAGCACAACAGACCAGCACATGCTGGTTGAAGGTAAACGTGAATCCCTGGTAAACCAATCAACATGGGCTTAGCATCAAGGTGTGGGAACTTAGAACGAAACCCTTGTGCGGAAATTTGCATTGCAGTAATTTTCATCTGCAGCCAACCATCACAGGATAAAAGAGTGTAAGTGTTACTATTCGTAAGGCCTCAGTTCTTATCATGGAGCTGTTTGAATACTTGTATTGTTGTGCGCTGTATTACCTATTTTTCTGGAAAAGTGTCATTTCTGGTGAGATGATTAATGCCGTTGATCCTGCTAACGACTGAAAGGCAAAAATTTGCACCGCCATTTACGATCAACTAAGCTTCCCTTTGATATAATCCTCGATCATCAGAAAACGGGTGACAACTGAAATGGAATGCACTTAATTTTCAACAGTCATGTGGAAAACCAACTGAAACTAATCCATAAAACTCGGTAGGTTTAAACCATTGTGCACTGAGAGAGAATTTTAAGTTGAGAATCTACCTATGCACTTGCACTAAACTTGGATGTCATAGAAATTTGATACTACAGATACCCCATGCTTTCCCCCGACGGTGTTCCGATATCAAACGTGACTACTACATGCTTAATCAGTAAACGGAGTCGGTCGCAAAACTATTGAAGCCCGCTCTATTTTTCCAACAGCTATACCCATCTCGCAGCAAAGCCTTTTGTGTGTTCTACGTGCAATCGCGGTTTTTGTCAATCCCGGTCACTGGAGAATCACAAAAGAACGAACCATTCAACTGAAACACAATGGCAGACATTCGCATCCCTTCCAACAGATCGACCAGAGAAATATACCGAGTTGTGTGTGCAACACCTTTTGGAAGAAATAGACTGCAACAGAAGAAATTTGAACATCCCTTAAAACAAGTGCTGTGTCTAATAAAAAACCATATTAGTTTTTCCCATAAGAATTTAGCAGTACTTCTTTTTCATTGCTTATGTGTGTACCATCAACTAGACGGTCACTTGTTCAAATCAGTACGTGATTTTTCGAATGCGCTATGGCAAACTGCTGCAGTTGGATAACCTTAGTTAAGTGTGACCTTTCTTTTTATGGTATACGTTTTGATTAAACCAATTCCATATGCTTTATGAACGGAAAGTCGCATTTCCATGGTTACATTTAGTAAGGTCGTTTTGAGGAGTCAGTTGTTAAGCTATCCTTAATCTATGAAGGTGATAACACCCCGATGAGCAGAAGAAGGTGACCGTGTAAAGCCATAGGACAAACAACCGATGCAGAACAACGAGTCTGTGGCCACTTGGTGTACGTTTCGTAACAGGGACAGTCTACTCGCTATTTGAATCTAGTCTACATACACGCTGAATTCAGATGCCAAAGGAAACGTCCAATTTGGTGCTAGTCTGGTCTGCTACTTGCGATGGTGCCCGGACTATGATTATCATTTTGGTCGCCAACTTCCTTTTAACAATCTTAAACGTCAAAGAAGCGGAGTCATTTTCTTGCTGCGTCAGGGGCGTAAATGTTCGTCGTGTTATCTAGTTGGATCACCGGTTGACTTACGTCTTGTAACAGCGCGCCTCTACTGGCTTTGCTTCATGGTGTCATCCTTTTGTGCCAAGGTTCGTTTATTTATTGCTTTTTGCACAACGGAGACGACATATCTAGGGAAAGCATCCTACTGGATGAGTGGATGCCAATAATACTCTATGGCAGTCACTTTAGGACAACCTTCCTAAATTCAGTACTTTTTGTTCATCTTGCATAATTTTACAAACAGGGCGTTCACTACAACCTTGTTTCCATTCAACTGCTTACTATGACGGTCTACTGAGAACAAACCTTTACGCACTTATTAGCGTATCTATTGAACAATTGCTTGATAATAATGTTCATACACGCCGGTAAATCGTGTTCGTTCTTGCAAGTATAGCAACTTACTTGAGCCTCTATTAGTAAAAGGTGCGTTTCACCAATTTGACTGACTTGCCACTTCATCAGAAAGATAAAAATTGTTTTCATCACAGCGGGTTGAATGCTTGGAGCTACATCCGGAATAAGATGGGAAGAATAATTAGCCGTTACTTTTTTCGTGATGTGGATGAGGCACAATGAATGCACGGACAAAAATGGGTGTGGCGTGAATCACTCCCCCAAATTGGTACCACATCATCCTTGTCTTTATGATTAGACACATTTTAAAGTTTTTGCTGGTCATCTGGCCGTTGTGGTACTTGTTAGGACTAGCTGTGCCCAACATGGTCTCCGGTGGGTGTCGAGTTGACTACCACTATAACTGACTGTCCCCGATATGGCCGAAGCTGTGTCACCAATATTTTGCAATCGATACGGTGCGCACCTGATTGTTTATGCTAGTTTCATTTGACATTTTGCACTAGTCATTGATTAGATGGGGTGGAAGTCGGATTAGTGCCAGCCCTACGCTCTGAGGACGTCAGTCACTGACATTTTCTACACTCAAACCTGGCCCATTCGTGGTGACACATCCTTCTGAATCTGTAAAATGTCAGATGCTACCATCGGAAATTTACAGAATACTGGAGTCCTTCGAATCCGGTGGTAACAGGAGACAATGATTGTCAGAACTGCGGATGCTACACCGTTGTAACACTCCACTGAGGAAGACAGCTTTTTACCTCTGACACACTTTTTAAACTTGTCTGGATTGAACGTTTCGATTTTAATAGACATCGCACGTTGCATACAAACTGGCACTCCACGCTTTATTCAAGCGCGTTTTAAAAAAGTTAGACCTATTTCACGGCATCAGCTTTAGCTTGTTCATTTCCAAATTAGGTTTTTCGTAATTTCTTTTCATTGTAAAAGTTGTGTTGTTTAGTGTCTCCGGGAGATAAATATTCTCAGACGGTGTTAGTGCGTATGACGGTATAGCTTGTCCTCCAAATATGACACTCGAATGGCTTCCGATAAAAGGTCTATATGTAACTACTGGTAAACAAAGTGTCAATCAAAGCCAGCTCTTCGAGTTCCATTGGAACCACCAGCGCAAGAATCAAATATGACTACTGTTCACTCACATGGTGTCAATTATCTAGCACAATTATGAATAGCATGCAAAAGATGAAAGCTGAATGTTTTGAAATTCTTCGGTTTAAAACAGCTGATACAAGAATTATGGGATTAGACTACTAGACAGAAAGCGAAATGGAGTCGAAAACAGCAACACGATTATGCGTGGCCATACAGGCGAACATTTGGGATTAGTTTAGTAGCTATCCTAACATCACTTCGGCTAATTCAATGGTTAAGTTAAAAGCAACTTCCTTTTTAGTCAACTGAATGACAACTAATCCAGGCGCATTTTCTACACTACAAATTTTGTATCACATCCATTTAACTTTGCTTTATAACGGGTAGGATGACCAAAGTGAGTGTTAAAGGGCTAAAGTAAAAACAACAAAAAAGAAGAAACTTGCGTTTCAAAGGATTCACCAAGCCAGTCATGGACACAGACGCCGTTATCCCCATCACAATGCTATGATGAGATTTGATGAATACCACGTTTAAATTACGTTACTCCATTTTTCGATTTAAACGGATTATATATCACGCAATGCACATTTGACCAAGTCTCCTCAAGTCTTTTCTGAGAAGCGTTAATATAAAAGTTGAAATGGAACATTGGTATTTGATGGGTAACTAGGCAGATGCATAACAAGTCCCATAGGATGGCCAGAAGGAGAACCAAAACATCGGGAATAGAAAACAGAGATAAAAAAAAAGAAAATTGGCTTGCTGGACTCACCACAACGTTCACACAGAGTCATGCAGTAAGGAGCCAAACTCAACTGTGTAAGTTAGTGTAGATTGTGCAACGTTCGTCGCATTATATCGTCTGTCGAGACACACGGGCTGTCTCCTAGTGTAGGTTGGTTAGGGCAACGTTAAGGCGTAAATTAGACACAGATAAAGTGGAGGCAGAGACAGAATAATTTGAGAGGATGTCCCATGTCTGGCACGCACAAAGAGAGTAAAAGTTTCCTTGACATTCTAGCCGACTGTATGGTGTGACCAACTTGAGTCAGTGGCCCCTTAAATTCGTGCTGGGACCGAGTGGTCATGGGTGGCTTTTTACGTGGTTTGGGTCCCACAAAATCTGGGATACCTTTATTTGGTCGCCATAATAAGCGTCGATACCTACCGTTGTGCAATCCTAAAGCCCACAGCCTAAGTTGATATAGAAGAAGTAACAATCCTTTGACGTGCTTTGTGGCTCTTCGCTGTACCGTTTCGAGAGCCGCGAGATCTATCTTTGCCAGGACTGACAGGTCTGGATAGTGCATTCCACTTGAGGCAGCACGCACCTGTTTAGTAACTGCGGACAGACAGATGAAACAAACCGTCCGAATGCCCTCTGCACTATACAAACCTGCTAGTTTCCAGTCTTCGACGCCTTCTCAGATTGTTCTGAGCAGCCCAGATCAGCCTGGATTAGTACCCGAAAGTCGTGCTCCTGGGTGACTGATTGCAGGACATGGTCTTTAAGCTTGCATCTGATGTTCGCCTGGCGACGAAGATGGAGCACTTTAGACTTTGATAAAGTGAACTGGAGCAGATTGGGGAGTGACCATCCTTGCAATCTATCCAGTTCGCGTTGAATTGCATCGTGATCTCCTTGGTCAGCGATCGTCCTCCACATCATAATGTCATCAGGGAACAAGAAACCTGAGGCAATCAAACACGTAAGCTCATTAATAAACACGAGAAATAGACGCAGCCCCAAAACGGATCCATGTGGAACAACACGATCCACATTAATGGGATCGAAGTGTAACCTGCGGTTGCTGACTCTGCTGGAAATCTCTGATCCCCCCAAGTATACGATCCCCATCTCCACAGCTTTCGAGGCTATGAAGCAGAATGCGGCGGTCCGGTCGTCAAAGGATTTAGAGAAGTCGAGTTAAATAATGCCTGTCCCTCTACTTTCATCGGCCGCTTCCATCTAACTACTACGTGCAATCAGTAGGTTGGTAGGACATGAACTGTGTTGGCGGAAACCATGTTACTCAGGTGATGTCATGTTGTGGAGTTCTAGTTGGTTAGTAAAGCCTCAGCAACAATTGCCTCCATCATCTTTGAGAGTATAAGGAGAAGGACCACTGGGCGATAGTTTTCGGGTTCCTAGCGATTGCCAACATTGAAACTTGATGTGATTAGACCATTTTCCAGCATGATATGCAGAGTCTGGCCAGCCAAGCAGGTATGGGAGAAATGAGTTATTGTCCCGGCCAGCGTCGCTACTGGTGCATTCAGCACCTTCCGGTAAATGTCCTGAAATCTAAGAGAACTGTAGGTGAACAGTGAGAGCAGTTTCTTCAAAACTGACGTGGCAGTAAAAGCGTTGTTATTACGTAAAATGAGGCTATGGGTGTAAGTTGGTAGCAGTGACAGACGTCATGTTATAAGGTCGGGACATACTTGCTCCGCAGAGCGTTGGCCCCTTTTTCTGCGCTCTGTGCCACCTCGAGTGTTGTGTTGAGTGGTAGGATGCCAAGCTTCAATTTCCAATGGTATTAACATGTCAGTTTAGGTACATTTTTTCGTCAAATTTACAATCCAAATGCTGTTGGTGACACAATTTGTCCTCACGGACAAGCAGATTGCACTGGGTCACAGGGTCAAGCTCTGTAAACGTGCCAAGATGCATTGCTTAATGACCTACATTTGTGAATTTTACAACTTATAACCGAAGGTAGGTTAGCGGAACGAGGATTCTTTGTTTCTGAAGCGGTTACGATCAGATTGCTGAAGCGTCTAACACATTTTATCCAGGTGCTGTCAGCGAAGCCACCGTTCAATAATTCCAAAGCCGTCGACGAAACTAGATCGTACAGGGTGTTGTAGCGTGGGATGATGCGTGTTAGT